TAGTCAACACTGTCGGGTTTTCACCGAAACGAAACGTACCAGCTCCTTCCATGCAAATATCATCCTGCTACCGTTGTGGTCGGCATCATATCCGTTAGTCAGACTACAAACATCAAAAGACAGTTTGTCGATTTGTAAGAAAATAGGACACCTCGAACGACTGTCTTTTAAAAAAAAACGGATGAACACTAGTATGCAAGCTATCTACCCTAATCCAGCTGGGGATGGCGAGACGATACTTCAAATGTTTGCAGCAGGCAAAGCGCTCCAATCACCCTATCGCAGGGGTTTAAGTAAGTTAAACCCTAGAAACTGCGATCTTCAGACCATGGTTATTTAGTAGAGAAGAAGTCTGTGGAGGCCAGAGTGTTAGGAAGAATGAGAGAGAGTTCTTTGGGTAGGTCTACCTGTGATTGGTTGGACACCGTGTGGGTAGAAATCGACGTGGGCGGCCTGTGTCTCGCGCGCCAATAACTCTGGCAGCCGCCACGACCTTGAGGTCTAGACGAGTTGCGGTCACCACAGGAAGGCCAGGCGTCGGGTAGTAAACGACCACTACAACCCTACATCATCATACTTCATGTTGATCACCATTCTGTGCAGTTTGAAATTGACACTGGTTCATTTGTTACTGTCATCAATGAGGCCTCTCTTCGGAAAATTACCCATCTCCTTCCGGCTCGCTCCATTTTTCGTAGCTACACTGGAGAGGACGTAGACATTCGAAGGGTCTTGACGGCAGAAGTTAAGCATGCTGGCGAACTCCATTACATGCCGATTCACGCTGTCAGAGGAAGCCAAAAACCAAATCCCCTCGGACGGAACTGGATAAAATGTGTGCTTTCAGTGCTATCCTACATACATCAAATTGGGGTTAACCCCACTCTAGATTTTTTGGTAATGAATCATGAATAACTATCTCAGGATTATCCTACTACACAGCATCATAATCCACCCGTTAAATTCTACTTTGAATCAGAATCTCAGCTCAAAATGTTCAAACCTCGTCCAATTCCCTATGTACTTGCAGCGGAGGTCGACGAAGGGTAAGATCACCTACACAAAGCGGACATTATTGAGCCTGCACAGTATTCGGAATGGGCAGCCCTAATAATCCCAGTTCTTCAAGCCAATGGTTCCGAGGGTATTTCTGGTGACTACAGACCCACTATCAACGCAGCAACCAAACGAACCTATTATTCGCTCCCGCAGATCGAGGACATGTACGAATCCCTTTCAGGTGGTCAGCGATTTAAAACTTTGGACTTGAATCATACCCACAACCAAGTCATCCTAAATACAGAATCCCGAGACGCCACAAACATCAATGCACACCGGGGTTTGTTTCGATACAAAAGACTACCCTTTGGAACTTATTGCTGTAACTGGTCGGACGTCGAACAACGTGCCTTTGAACAGACAAAGGCGGCCACTACCTCATCCTCTCCCCGGTATCATCACGATCCAGAAAAGCGGATACTACAGAAATGCAATGCGTCCCCATACGGCCTGGATTCAGTTCCCAGGGACCGAATGTCTTCTGGTAATTGGCGGAAAACAAACTATTCGCAACCAGTCGAGGAGTACGTGCCCCATCCTTCTACTACCCATGCCAGCACTAGCGTACGGACTGAGGAGCAACCACATTCTCCCCCTTCCCGATGCTGTCCACTTGAGCGTGGAGGAATGCTATGTATCCCCGTCCGTAGTGTCGGGACGTCATGACGCGATGCGCGCGTCAAGCACTGATCAAGTTCACGGACACTTGGTCACCCCTTTCTTTGTTCTGACTGTCCAGTCTTCACTCCTGGCTAGCGGGCTCACCCCTCTCCTTATTCTGCTTGGCCAGCATTCGGTCTATCACATTTACCCCACACCATATACACCGCAGTGTCAACGTGAATCGTCACTTGAACGGTGCCTTCGTCCTCAGTACACGTCCCGCCTACAGACAGTCCTCTGTTTTGCCTACATGACATTCTGCCTACAGGCAGACTCCTGTTTTACCTGCATTACATTCGACCTGCCTACGAACTGCCTTCCGTTTTCAATACATCACACTCAGGACCCTTGTTTGTCGAGTGGAGCCAGCACCAACCAAACGAACGTCTAAAAGTAAACGTCAAAGAATTCGCTTTCACAAACCCAGATGCATCTTTACCCAGACAAAAACTCCCAAACAAAAGTGTCATGAGGTATAGCAGATGAGTCTATTGGTGAAAAAAAAACAAACCAAAAATTCCTATAAGAGTCCTAATTCTCTCATTGGAAACATAGAGGACTGCGGGTGAAGGCGCGAGGATTTGGTGGTGGTTAAATTGTAGGAGTATGCATAGTGAATTTTTAAGCTGGGGAATGCGGGAGGCAGTTGCTTAAAACAAACAATGAGAAGGGAAAAAGCGGTTTTCGTAGAGGCATAAGCGATTTCACATAGAACTTTCTAAATAAGGCTGAATCAATTATGAAGATTTCAAAATGCGTTAACGGATAAACAAGTTTTCAAAACAGCCAATAGACATTATTTCATGCAGCGATACCGGGGGTTCATTTTACGGCCGCGTGCTCGTTGAAGTGTTCTCAGGCCGATGCAAACACATTCGCTCTCTAGTGTGTGGTTCGTACGACGACACGCTCAGTGCCAGTCACGCACCTAGAGGTCATGATCGCCAAGATGGCCACAAGAACA